GCCACTCACTCACTCTCCCTCTGCGACTGGACAGAGGAGAGAGAGAAAAAAAAACAGCTAAGGATTCATGAGTTGAGGTAACAGCTGGGAGAGGTCAGTTAATGATTACCTTTACAGGCAAAACAGACTCAAAGTGGGGATAGTATTCAAATTTATTACTAAATTTATTACTAACTACTAGTACTACTAATTTATTACTTAAATTTTTTACTAGACAAAGAGTGAGAAATAAAACAGTCTTAGAAACACCTTCCCCCCGTTCCTCCTTCCTTCTATCTTCTCACTCCTCCTCCCCAGCAGTGCAGGGGGATGGGGAATGGGAGTTACTGTTACTTGTTTTTTCTGCCGCTCCTCAGAGAGAGGAGTCCTCTCCTTGCTCCCATGGGTCCCTCCCATAGGAGACAGTCCTTGATGGACCTCTCCAGGGTGAGTCCACCTCAGGCAGCAGTTCTTCCCAAAATGCTGTCCCATGAGTCACTCCTCTATGGGGTGCAGTCCTTCACAGATGAGCTGTACCGATGTGGGTCCCCCACAGGGGCCACAAGTCCTACCCAGAAAAAACTTGCTCCAGCGTGGACTTCCCTCTCCATGGGCTGCAGGTCTCTGGAAGGACCCTGCTCCATCTTGAGCCTCCCAAGGGGTCACAGCCTCCTTCATGCATCCACCTGTTACAGCATGGGCTGCTCCATGGGCTGCAAGGGAGTCTCTGCACCCCGATGGTCCCCCATGGGCTGCAGGGGCACAGCTGCCCCATCATGGGCTGTACCACGGGCTGCAGGGGAACCTCAGTTGTGGTGCCTGGAGTACCTCCTGCCCCTCCTTCTGCACTGACCTTGCTGTCAATCTTCTTGTTCCCATGTTCTCATTCCACTCTTCCCTGGCTGGAATTTTTTCTGCACCACAACCTTCTGTTCTTAAATATGTTATCACAGAGGCATTACTATTACTCCTGATTGGCTTGGCCTTGGCCAGAGGCAGGAAGTCTGTCCTGGAGCTGGCTGGCATTGGCTCCATTGGAGAGGGGAAGCTTCTAGCAGCTTTGAACAGAAGCCACCTCTGTAGCCCCCCCCCACTACCAAAACCCAGCCACAGAAACCCACTACACTTGTCAATACAGGCCTTGGGCAGTAAGTCCCTCTACTAATACACCTTAATAAGATACTCAGTCTTCTCCAGGCTGAATGGAGCTCCAGTCACAGCTCTCTCAGCCTTTTCTCTTAGGAAAAAATGCTCTAGTCTCCCTTATTACCCTTTGCTGGACATTGTCCAGTAGCTCCATATCCCTCTTGTAATGGGGACATACCAAGCTACACTTATATAACTCTACAAAATCTTTTAAGATATTTCAAATACAAGTTGCATGTAGGATACTTTGGAATTTATTTCCTAGCCTTTTCTTCTGATTAACTAACATCAGATGACTGTTGTATTTTCTTGGCATAACTTGATCCTAAGACAAGTCAAAAGATCATGGCAAAGAGGCGGTTAAGTTTTTTCAGCTTTAAGGACATTCATGTAATAAAGATCTCCAGACAAAGCCCTGACTTTACAGTCTGTTCCAGACTACAGTTCCTGAGACCTAGATATATATAAGCCTTTCAGCTGTGATTGTTCTACAAAGGAGGAAGACCTGATATCTAGTTCTGCTACAGAATAATAAACAGTCATTTGCAAAAGTGGTGTTGGATTAGTGTGTATTCACACAGCTTTCATGCATGTCCACAGGGGGCTCCAAAACTCTTTGCAGTGATCTGTTTTGAATTAAATTACTGTAATGAAATTTACATCAAAACCAATTTCTGAATGTATCCATCTCTCTTCCTATACTCAATCAGGAATGAAGGAATGAAAGAAGGGAAGAAGAGAGGAAGGAAGAAGAGGATAATATTGCATTCACTGATTCATTCATCATTTCTTTTTCCATTTTTAGACAGTAAGATTATTTCATCTGCTCTCATATGAATTTTAATTAATAGCATTAATAAGGTGCTTAGCCTACATTGAAAGAAAATTAATATTATTAGCCAGAGAATAATTCTCTAAGGCATGTCACATGCAGTGACATTGTTACTGTGAATGCTTTTGACTTTGGATTCTGTTATACACACATCAGTATGCAAAAGTAGTAGAAATACATGGTCCCAAAGCTTATGCACAGACTTTGTATTTTGGATTTTTGACATGGATTGTAATCATACTCTTCAGCAGTGGTCTAAAAAGTCACAAACATGAAATATTCAAATAAGTATTTTATTAATGGGTCTTTTGGGTTTTTCTCCTCTTAGCATGGAGGTTGTCTTACAGTTGAATTATTGCCCAATTTGGTATTGATTCTCAATTAAAAAAAAAAATCAAAATGGAATTGTTTTGCATTTAGAATTCTCAGTCTGGAGTGGACTTCTCCGTCTTACTAGAAGGGCTGTTGCTTTTTCTCACAGTTCAATCTTGATATAACTTTTTCATCATTGGTACCTGACAGTCCTAACTTCTTCTACTTGCAGCTTTGGGTTTTTTTGTTTTGTTGTTTGTTTGTTTGTTTTAGTCATCCACAAGGGTTTTCCACAACATTTCCCAGTCAGCAAAAAATACATTGTAAGTTTATTTTATAACTGAGTTAAAGTTGTGGTTTTTTTCCTACCTTAGGCCAAAGGTTTCTGATGTTGTACTATAATGCAGTTTTCCACACACTCATTTTTTCTTCATATGCTGTGTTGTCTTCACTTAGAAAGTTTTGCAGCATATTGTTATACCTGGGTTATTTTGTTCTTATTGCTTTTGCAAGTTACATTCTTCTATGCATAAATACTAATTTCTGCCTACTGAATGATAAATCCTCCTTTTCTGAAAAGCTTACAGTTTTCACTTTTTCAACTTTTTTAGACAATTTTATTTGACTTTTCTACTGTAACATCTTCAGAGGTATTCCAAGAAAATACTGATTATTGACATCAGCAGTATAATGAATAAATCTACTTTGTCTAACATAGTTGATGCACTAGGACTGGAATTTTCAGTGAAGGTTAATGAAAATAAGTACTCTCTTCAATTGAAAAAAAAAAAAAAGCTATATTATTCCTTCAGACTCCTTTGGAAATGACAGCCATAACTTTTTTTTTCGTCGTGCTAATAATGGAGAAGAAAGTAGCAGAGGAACTAAACACATTTTCTACTTCTTGGAGTTACTATGCCATATTTCATCAGAGGAATCTTGCAAAACAGTACATAGCCAAATCTTACAAAACCAAGTAGCCAAACCTCCAGCAGAAATAAAATTTGATACTTGTATTCTAGTAAATGACAGTCAGGGATCTGTTTCCTGATTGAGCTAACTGACCCTGATGCCTTTGTAATGAACTCTACAGGACAATACATGAGGAAACTCATGTATCTCCTCCAAGTTTGTTCAAAATTTCTGTATTAGCACCACTAAATTTGTATCTCTGATTTATCCCAAGTTTTTTAAATAGTGTGCTTCTGTCCTACAGAAGTTTGACACATCTGCCAAGAGCCTGTGGTCATTCTGCAAAAGAGCAGTGGTTTTCAATCTGTTACCACCCCTACATCACTAAATAGCCTGAAACAGCAGTCAGCTGCCCTGCTTTCCAGCTTGCTGTATAAACAGTGGAGACACTCTCTGGGGCAGCAAAGAAGCAGCAAAATGTAATGGCAGCAGCAAATGATCAATTAGGCTGGGATAAGCACATATTACACAACAGAAAAAGAAATATTAAAACCAAATGCAGACAGTAAAACCAGCTAATGCTCAGTAGCTTACTGCAATGTGGATGCAAACAAAAATAATAACACATGCATAGTTTTATCTAATACAAGTACTCAACTGACCAAATGCCACTGATAGAAGTGATAAAGTTTCAGGGTTGATTTAACTGGAATGAAAGCTGCTCTCTCTTTACAAAACCTGATTTACAAAAGAGTATTATTCTCTTATCTCCTACACTGAAAACCCTTCCTCAGCACATCACAGCTTCCCACAAAGGTTTTCCCCATTTCTGTAAATAATGCAGTAAGTACCTTACAAATCACTAAATGTGCTGTGCTGCCTTTTGCCTACTGCTTCTGAAACCAGACTTCTTGATGGAAAATATGCAAAGAAATACATATGTTTAACTGCACATGCCAGCATAATTTCTGTTCATAGAAATTTAATAAGGAAGTAACATTTTCTTGAAAAAAGCCAATTTGCACTAGCTTGTACTGAGAACAGAATCAACTTGGGGTATACAGGAAGGAGGACTGTAAATTCATCTTTAGCTCTTATAATACTGCTATTCTACAGTACGATTATTTACAAATATGAACTGTTACTTGTTTACACAGTTCATTATCTCTAGAATCAGAGAAACACTTCAATATATCAAGAGATACAGGAGATCTGTTGAAAAACACAAGGACCAATTGCTCTCCAGCCTCAGAGAAGCTCTGAAGGGCAAATTGTTTGGTTTGACTGTTCTACACAAATGGAAATGGACCTCGCATTAGTGATTTCAATAATTCAGAGAACTCACTAAAATAATTAGCAAATTAGTTTTGCCAAGAGTGCATAATATAGCCACTTTACCTGAACATAATTTTATATAGATATCATGTGGTCACTTTTTGAATTAATATATTGTTTTACAAGGATAACCTGAACAGGTCAGATGGCACCCAGGAGCTCAGGGCATTGGATTTAACTGGATTTAACCACTCAGCTTCAAAAGTCCACAGTTAGGTGACCACATCTCTGCTAAAGTAAATGCTGTATAGATTGCCTTCATAGTCAAAGATGAGAATAGGACGAATCATTTTGGTCATAAAGTACATACTACAAGAGCTCAGATTATTGTGTTTTTTAAGTGACTGTTTCTTTCCCCTAAGTATAAAGGATAAGTATGACAGATACGCTGCAGACATCCAAATTGCTGATTTGAATTTAGTGAACACAAACACAAGTCTCCCATGAATTCTCTCGATTGCTTTTAGAATCATATGTAACATACCTACACTCCAGTCCATTTCCTCCACTGCATCACCATATAAGCCATGCTTGCTCTTTCCTCTGAAATTTTCTGAAGCATATAGAGCAGTGTGGACATGAAGATAAGACAAGACAAGCAGAAAGGGTGCATCAGTGTTCCTAGAAAATAAAACAAACCCACAACTCCTCAGTATATTTTAGAATAAAATGGCTACAAAGAAATCTTTCTACAGCAAAGTTAAAAAAAAAAAAGACTCTCCCTCTTCCTTGGCCTCCCACCTAAACAAACCAACTAGCCAACCCAAAAAAAAAACCCAACCAAAACAAAAAAGAGGAAAGGGAAGAGAATAGTGTAATTGATAAGAGGGTAATCCAGAATAAACATACACACAGTAAAAATGCCTTTCTTATACTGAATTGAAAGCAAAAATAAATTACTTAATTTACCTAATTACTATTTACTATATATACTGAATGAGGACTTTTTTAAAGCCAGGAATCTAGCAGTTTCTAGAGAAAAAACACCTCTCTTCATTTTACAAGTATATATTTAAAAGCCTGAATACAATTGCTGTTCAAAAACATACCCTCAGAAGTACACATCTACATGAAACACAATTACTTTCCTCACAAAGTCACGTGGAAGCTGATCTGCTAGACTATTGTGAGGACCTACGTCTTTATCCAGGACTAAGGTATATGACCAGTTCTCTTTTCATTCGAAGCTCTGTCCCTGTATGCATGTGATCATAACCTCGAAGTTAATAACCTTAATACTGATATTAAAGACTTTTCTCCTCAAAGTAATGAACAGTCTCCATTGTCTTCAGTTTATTTCCTGAACAGATGCAGTAGAAAGAGTGCAATAAATAGACTCTGTAAATTTTGCTATTCATGTGATCTGTCAACATGATATTTATGATTAGTTCTAGCAGGCTGTGAAAGCACAGCTTTAGCAAGTACTTCTCCTTATGCATTATTTATAAAACTTTACTTAAAATTGTGCCGTACTAACCAAATTTACTGCTATATGCTCTAACAGCATTTGCAGTACATTATGCATATTGTAAATATCAGCTGAATCACAAAAGTACTACCCACAGATCTTGTCTGGATCTCACCTTAAAGCACACAGCTAATTGCAGTCTATTTTTAGTTTTATTTACCATATTTTCCCTCACCAGTCTGTGGTGGATAATACCTGTGATTCATGTCAGCATCAAAGGGAGACTACATATCTCCTCAAGCAGTTGATTCACCTACCCTTTAAAGAGGGGAGGAACAATACAGATATGCTCATACAAACTGTTCTGTTTAAATTAACAAAAAACCCTAACCTTTAGAACCTGAAAACAAAGTATTTTAGTAAAAGAGATTAATCTGATAACAACACTTTAATCTTAAAGGAAAATAATTAATTATAATGTAGTATATTTATGATCCATTTTTCCTCTCTCCTTGGTTGGATATGTTTTTGCACAAGTTGCATGTTTTTTTACTGGCATATACAGCAGCACATAAACTCAAAATGAGAACATTTTATCTGCATTACTCCCTTGATAAGTGTGTTTTCGACAGGGATTTTTTCTTCATAAAAAAATTCTCTTTCTTTAAAAAAAACCTCAACAGAATAAATAGAACTTCTTCTTGTGGAAAATTGATACAAAATTATTTTATTTCTCTTACAAATATTTGTGCATGTATCCTATATAAGCTTAGTATTGTAAAGTATAGATTAAAAAAATTGTTTTTTATAAAAGATACCATTTCCACAAAGTTGTTTATTGCTATTTGAAAGGTGATATATGTGAAAACTTTTGATTTTTGTAGCAACAAATAACATGAGACTTCTGAGTCAATTAAAATGCTTGAAAATATCACCACTTCAAGCAAAAAAAGGATGTATACTTATAAGTTAAATATTTAATATACACATAACTGTAACACTGACCTTTCATTAGAGAACATTTCTTCAAGGCAGCTGATTTCTGTTTTACTTGTATTTTTTATTTCCTTAGATTTTCATTTACGTTTTCCTTAAACACAGTTCACTGAATTGAGATTAATATACAAATACTAGGGTAAAGTAAAACACCACAAAAATTTACTTTATACTTATGACAGTGCAGACAAAACTAACTTTTTATGCAAACTGCCTTGTTGTGATGCCACAGAGATATTGCTTTCTTCTATATCTTCTTTGCTAAAAGTGAGTATCAAAAGCCTCCACTATAAATGATATTTTCAAGAGATAATAACTCAAGTTTTTTGTAGTTTGGTTTTGTTTGTTTGTTTTAATAGAACTGATACAAAGATCAAACTTTCATGAAGAGTTATCAAATCAGTGATTGATATAGAAGGGCACTACATCATTCTCTTCTTTCCAACTAAAATTGACAGGTTATGATTGACAGCTTGCTGGCAGGTGGAGAAGTGTCTCACCTATTAATATCCTATAAAAGATCAGAGGCAGCTGTTTATCGTCTGCCAAAACTCTTTGAGGAGTATTATAACTGAATACCTCTACCATGACCTTGAAAATGGAATGACAATACTAGCTAGTAGGCAGGAGAGAAATTTGACAACAACAGCTTAACACCTGAACTTCAATAAACAGCTCCTTCAAAAATGTATTACCACTATCTTTTACACAGTGCAAACACAGAGAATCTCAGTTTCAAAAGATCTGAGATTTTTTATCCTAACATGAATCACACAGTCTTTTCAATTTACTGAGTAGCCAGAGAGATTATATACATCTGACATAAGATATTCTTTAGTGTGTTTTTAATGGATCTTGAAAACATCTAAAAGCATCACATTGCTGATGATTCCTCTGCATTGCAAAGTACCAGGTTCTTTTTTACTGTGAGGAGTCTTTATACTACTCAAAGATTCAGCTCAGGCTTGAGCTGTAAAACACAGCTTTAAAGTGGGTGAGAGAGCAATTAAAACTAATCTGACTTTGTGCTTCACACACAAGTCTTTTAACTTTTTTCCTGCAAATCTGCTCCAAATACTGCTCGCTGCTTTGAAAAGTCCTTGGGCAATTTTGTTTGCTTTACTGTGCACTGATGTGGTGCAGTTGACTCACTGCAAGGAAGGGATATCACCCAGAGGGACCTCGAGAGGCTTGAGAGTTTGGCCCATGAGAACTTAATGAAGTTCAACAAGGCCAAGAGCAAAGTCCTGCATTTGGGTGATGTAAATCCCAAGCACAAGCTGGGTGGACAATGGATTGAGAGCAGACCCAAGGAGAAGGACTTGTCAGTTTTGGTTAACAAGAAACTCCATATTAGCCGGTAATATGTTTTTGCAGCCCAGAAAGTCAACTGTATCCTGGACTGCACCAAAACCAGTATGACCAGTAGGTCTCCTTGAACAGTTCCAGTGATGGGACATCTACAACCATGTTACTTGCTCCAATGCTTCACCACCCTCTGAGTATAGAATTTCTTTTTAACATCTGATCTAAACCTCCCCTCTGTCAGTTTAAAAGCATTGCCCCTTGTCCTGTCACTATCTGTCCATATAAAAAGTCCCTCTCCCTCCTTTTTATAAACCTGCTTAAGCTACTGGAAGGCTTCAGTATGGTATCTCTTGAGCCTCCTCTACTCCATGCTGAGTAACTCCAGATCTCTCAGCCTGTCCTCATGGGAAAGGAGTCCCATCCCTCTGATCATCTCCATGGCCCTCCTCTGGACCTACTCCAAGAGGTCCACATCTTTCCTGTGCTGAGCACCTCAGACCTGGACACAGTACTCCAGGTGAGGTAACAACGAGTCGATACAGCCAGATGCAAATTTAACTTATTTCTTGTAACTCTCCTTTTACTAAAAAGATCTTATTCAGTATCCCCTCAGTGGATAAATTCATTAATGCTTATTCCCCATGGGTGCTTCCTCCACTTCCAGATTAGATCACCAATTAGACAGTGATCCTTGTGATAGGACTGGCTGAATGCACTCATTAAGCCTTCTTATTCCTGCAGGAGGAAAAAGGCAAACCAAATCTTGGCTTAGTTGTATCAAAGTAGGACTTTCTCCTACATGCTGGATTTCGTTTTGTTCTGACTGTTAACTGTTAAAATTTTTGTTAGTATGAATGAATCCATGAATGAATGTTTCTGCCCTAGTCTTTTAAAAGACACACATTCAAACACAGATGTCATATTTTCAAAATTTTTGAAAATCAGAAAGAGAACTCCATATCACTTGGGGGTTACTCAGTAGAACCAGAAAAGGTCCTGAAAATGGAATTGAGAGGGGGAGGAAAATGTAAATATATAAATAATGTGACTCTTTCTAGTAGATATTAAAAGTAGGATGTGCTACTACTGTATCTGCATTTGTGAAGCTATTCTTCCATGCAAATAGAAAAGACACTTTGACACCTATAATTTCATACCCATTGTTTTCTTTAAATGCTTAAGGTACACAATTCATATATGTTTTTATTTCCCTTCCATATAACCTTTTTTTCTCCCCTCCCTAAAGTACATTTTCATAAGCACAGAGAAAGAAAAGGAATTTCTCACCTAGTACAAATTATACTCATTACTAAATCCCTCTCCCCCACAAAATGTTGGAGGCCAATAGACAGATCTACTACTTTTTTAGAAGTGTTCCATTCACAATCTGGTCTGATACTCATCACAGAACTAGTGAGGTCCTCAATAATTCTTAAATTATTTTAAGATTTTGTAAAGCCCTATATGAATTCACACCTTTTTCCTGTTACCTTTTTGTTCAAAAGGTACAATCAAAGGTCTGAGAGAAGAGGCATGAAGATCCAGTAGAGTTGTTACAGCTTATAAGTTACTACCTGGTTTTAATACATGTGCATATATACATCACATGTATACAAAGATTTACAAACTCTATTCTATAATTTGCATTTTGCCGTAAACTATAAGGAATATTCTTGTAGGATTTATAAAAACATTTGATTTCAGAAATCTTAACTCTAGTATAAAATGACAGCTGCCAGAGATTAAGACCCAGTAATGTATAGAGAAACTCTAAACCAGTCTCCTAGAGTAGATGAAAAAAAAAATCTGAATATGTGTTGCAACAATGTTTCAAGGACTACAATAGAATACATAAAATGGAAATTTAAAATTTATTAACTGTTATCACAAAATTTTAAAAATTATGCCTATACAATCTATGAGTGAAAAAAATAGACAAGAAAATTGTTAAAATTCACCTTCAACATACCTTTTAAATATAAACATGTTTGTATGCAAAAACCTTTTTTCCAGAAACTAGATTTCATTAGGATTTTTAAAATATTAATTGTGACCAGCTATACAAATTTGTCAGAGAGGTATTCTGTATCACAGAGGGGTCATTTGGATTGTTGATTTCTTATACATTAGAAACTGGTCTCTGGCATTTTCCAAAACTGGATTTTCTGTGCAGCTGGTCATTAAAGGGCATGCTGAAGATGTAAGAGTGACAACCACACTGAATTTAACATGAAATAATTAGCATGCATTTGACTTTCAAATATGCTATAATATCTAGAGAGTGTTCTGATAGGTTTGCAATATGTAAACACATTTTCCCTTGGGAAAAAGTAATTAGAATTAACATACACTGAGCTGACCTGCCCACTTACAATTAGGGTAAGCAACTAAATTACTATTTGTTTTCACACACCAAATCTGTCACTTCTAATTGTATATATTCATCTCCAGAGCCATTTCTGGGCACTGAATTTTGTATTTGCTCTTTTTCAATCTATCTAGGAACAAACAAAAATTGTAATATGCGTACACTAGACTAAGGAAGATAAATACAACTCTACATCTCCAAAAAAACAGACCAAAGTAACTACAACAGCACATAGCTACATGGTTATATATGAAATTATAAAAAGACTTTAAAAATACAAACTCTAAAGATTATACAGAATCACCAAAGCTTGCCCTCCAGCAGTCCAGGGTAATAGTTCTTCATATTGCCCTCTCCTTACTTTACTAGGAATCAAAAACTCTCATCATTTTGTGATCCCTGTGCCCAAGATGGCCTTCAACCATCAAATCACCCACCAGTCCTCTGTTCGTAGACAGCAGGTCCAGCAGGGCACCTCCCCAGGCTGGCTCACTCACCAGCTGTGTCAGAAAGTTATTTTCCACACACTTCAGGAACCACTTACATAGTTCCCTGCCCACTGTACTGTTTTTCCAGGATCTGGTAAGCTGAAGTCCCCTACATTAACAAGGTCCAGCAGTTGTGAGACTTCTACCAGCTGCTTATAGAATATTTTGTCTGCATCTTCATCTTGGCTGGGTAGTCTACATATTCCCACCACAATATCTTCCTTGTTGGTCTATCCCCTGATTCTAACCCATAAACACTCAAACCTATCACCACTATCATTAAGCTCTGGATAATCAAAACACTCCCTAACATACAAGGCTACCCCACCTTATCTCCTTCCTTGCCTATTCCTTCTGCAGAGTTTGATGTTTATACATAGAAGTCATAAAGCTGACAGTATGATTGAGAATCAGCTAGAAGAGAAAACATCTGGAAGTCCATCACCTGAACTCCAAAGAACTTACAGAGGTAATATAGGCAATAGGTATAATAATCTTATATAGATAAAACATTTATGTTTGAGTTATTAATATATATTCATATACATTGCATATAAAAGGGTTTTACAGGAAAATACCAGTGCTGTTGAAGATTGGAGCTTCATCATATATTTATTATAAAGATAATTGACCAATTAAAAATGCATGATATCTGATGATTTTTAGTTTGATGATAAAATGTGTATTTAGAACCAGTTAAGCTGAATGCTTGAATTCCTTAAATTCAGGATTGTTTGCATTCTGGTATACTTGTGCAGATGGATTACTTGTGTACATGACTGAGTTTGCTATTTACTGTATAATCTAAAGAAAAGGAGATTGTGTGACAAACTGAATATTCAAACATGATTAAGGGATTGAAAGAACTGGAATGATAAGAATGCTGTCAGGAAACTGTGTCTTCCCAAAACCTTGTGGCCCTTCATTTATGAGTGCCAGATATCTGCATGCTGTTGAAACATGGCTGACTCTTCATGGTCCTTCACCAACAAATGGCCAAAGTCAGAAGACAGCAATGGCCTACTGGTGCCCTGGAGCTGACAGGTGTGAACTATATAACGTCAGAACCAGTGTGTCAAAGTAAATACTGGTTTTGTTGCTCTTACTAATATATGGGACAGATCAGTTCAGTGAATATTAATCTAATTACTCCTATCCCTAGGAGCAAGGTTTATGGTCATATTCTTTGCATGTGAATTCACTAAAGGGCACAGTTAAGATTGCTCAAATGCCCTAATTGCTTCTCAATACCTTAATGTGCTTGGATATTTTCTAATTTAACAATGACTCTGAAGAGTCTGGGTTATAATTCTCACTATAATTGCATCATTCCTGTAACAAAGTTTGTTGTAAATTACGAATATGTGCTATTAACCTTGACTTCAATTTAACATCACTGTTGTCTGGAAACGACATTAAGATTTGGGGCCAAGTGCTCAGCTGATGTAAAGCCACTTATCTCCAGCAAAGTCAGCAAAGATGTTCTGACTTAGATTATACATTATTTTTCCAGCTCTAAACACTGGGTTCAAACAGTGACACTAAGCTATACAATAACAGTGTTCAAATTACACATATTAATAAAGTTAAAAGAGTTACTGGTTTTCCACCATCAATTTCCCAACTTCAACTCACCAGTTTTGGGGCAACCATTTTATTGTCATGGCATTGAAATACACGAAACATTCATAGATACCCAAAACAATATCAATACAGGCACATTATATACTTGTAAATAATGGCAGAATATACCTACATATAGTTAATGTGCTCAAGAATCTTTTAAAATCACCAAATGCTTGGTCACTAAGCAAATAACCCCTCAACAATTTTCAAATATGTATGTTTGTGTGCTTGTAGCAAACAAAGTACTTCACAGTTAAATGTAGCTGAGAAAGAATTTTTATATCTATCACAATTGCCAAGAGGAAATAAAGATGTTTTAGTTTATTTACAAATACTGATGATAATGTTGATTGTTGGGAAAACTTACTCACTTAGAGAAATTTGAGACAAAAACTCTTTTATTTTGGTATGATGGGTAGAGATGGCCTCATCAAATAATCATAATGATAGAAATAATAGAAAAATTGCTGTATAAGATCAAGATTTTAGTTAAACATTTTTTCTTGCTAGCAACAAGAAACAGCTGCTGCATGCAGTCATTAAGTCTGGAAAATTTAGCCTCTGATTCTTTGGTATGTGCTTTCATCAAGCAATGACAATATGTGAATGTATTCACAGTAACTAATGGTACATACTTTAGGAATATTAATTCAGGGACTTCTATGTCTTAGAATATGTTTTTAATTTGATTTCACATTTTTAAAAATGCTGCAACTTGCATCAAATGAGATCAAGAAAAATATTTTAACATGTTTTTTCAAGAAGTTAAATTGATTAAATATTTTTTCTCCAAATATATTGATGTATATTTCCAAATATACAAATGTATACTTTTGTGACTTCATCCCATTAGAAGCCCTGTGGTGACACTTATGGCAAGGGAGCTAACTTAGAAAAAATGAACAATGACTTAGGATGTTTTTGTACATCCAATGTTTAGGTGGCCCAATATGATGGCTATTAAAAAAAAATTGTTTAAAAAAAATCCCACATTTGTTTCACAGAATCACAGAATTACAGAATGGGTAGGGTTGGAAGGGATCACAGTGGGTCACCTGGTCTAACCTCCCTGCTCAGGAAGAGTCATCATAGAGCAGATGACACAATGTCTATGGGCAACCTGTTCCAGTGTTTGGTCACCTTCACAGTGAAGAAGTTCTTCCTCATATTCAGGTGGAAATTCCTGTGCATCAGTTTCTGCCTATTGCCTTTTGTCCTATTGCTCGGCAACCCCGAGAAGAGCCTGGCTCCATCCTCTTGGCACCCTCCCTTCAGATATTTATAGAGATTGATGAGGTTCCCTCTCATTTGTCTCTTCTTGAGGTGTAACAGGCCCGGTTTCTTCAGCCTTTCTTCATAGAAGATGTTCCTGTCCCCTAATCATTTTTGTAGCTGTCTGCTGGACTTGCTGAAGAAGTTTTGCCTCTCTCTTGTGTTGAGGAGCCCAGAACTGGACACAGCACTCCAGATATAGCCTCACTAGGTCTGATGAGAGTAGAAGGATCACCTCCATCTACCTGCTGGAAATGCTCTTCCTAACATAGCCCAGGATCCCATTGGCTTTCCTGGTAAGTAGGAAACACTTCTGGCTCATAGACTGCTTGTTGTCTACCAGGACCCCTAGGTCCTTCTCCACAGAGCTGCTTTCCAGCAAGTCAGCTGCCAGCTTGTGTTGGTGCTGGGGGTTGTTCTTCCTCAGGTAAAGAACCCTTCACCCTAACTTCTGTGAATCAAATCTTTTCAACATTAATCTGCCATAAAAGTGGAGGCATATAAAGTGCCAATATCTTTAAAAATTTGTCATATGAATGCCTTTTAACGGTTGCATCAACTCAATGATGAAAAACAGTTTCCCATCCCAGAAAAGTCACAGATTATGACTCTGAATTGTGCTTTCACATAACTAAGTCACACCGCAAAAGATTTTTCATATTTCAAGTTAAAATTCTTAATAATGAAAGCCCTAAAAAAAGTTGTCAATTTTTGGAAAAAAAATCTGAAGTATGTAAACAGAAACAATTTAAAAATTTTATAGAGGAATTAATTATCTAACTGATAGGAAGAAAACCAAACAATCACTTTCAATAAACAAATTAACTTCAGTCATCTTTTAAAGGAAAAAATTATGATGATAATATATAATGACATATTCCTTATGCCCACAAGCTCATATTTTTTTCCAATTTTTAGAAGCATCATCATTGTGAAATGGCAACATTGATTTAGAACACAGTTAGAAACCTACCTTCCAATAAACTGCATGGCTTCCTTTGTCAGCCTCTGAGTAAGGTTCTCATAGGACAGTGGCTGCTGGATAATCTTATGATTCCTCATTAAGAAGCAGTTTAAGTGTCGAAAATGATAGAAGAAAAATATCAAAACCACAAGTGAAATTGTGATTATTAACAAGCAGTAACCGAAGGCTTGGAAACGTACATTGAGGAGGCCAATGTACTGCACTATTGCCAAAGAGACAAGGGTGATTCCAGCAATTTGGACTGGGATGACAAGGGCGTTCTGAACCCCTTTTAAAAATACGCTGCCTTGGCCAGGTTTGCAGTCTCTAAAATTGGTCACGGCGAGCCCATAAAAGTAATCAAATCCATGACTGAGGGGGTGGTGACAGAAGTCATTACTGCTTTCACAGTTCATCCCAAGATGCCACTTTCCTACAAAGAGAGAAGGACAGGGAGTATTTTTGTAGTTAAATCATCAAACTTAGTTTTAACATGCACTATTCCAAACATGAAACTGTCACTGTCTGACTGATATCCCCCTGCCCCCAGCATCTATTGTGTGGATCCCTATTTTCTATTTAAACTTTCTTTATGCCTTCATCTAAGATTTTGTTTCATGTCTGCCTATTCATCTCAGAAAAAGGTTTAGAAGAGCTGCTGCTGAAGAACATTAAATTTTGAGTGGGATAGCAGGTCACTGAAGAGCAACAGAGCCCTAGCAGACAGTTAACTTGGGGAATGAAGCCTTTGTGTAGTTGTCATTAAAAAAATACTATTTTGTAGTTGCTACTGACTGAATGGGAAGAGCCAGTACAGAGTTAAAAATAACTTCTCTGAAATTTTTCTAGCAAATAATTTGAATAGTTTAAAAAAAAAAAAAAAAGAAAAGAGAAAAGAAGAAAACAGTAACAAATAGGAAATAAATCAAGAATAGGAAAATTACCAAAGCATTTATTATTTAAATGATTGCAAAAATGTCTGAAATTGTCAATCGCCCTCACAATATACAAAGATATATATGGTGAGGGTGATTGTTTTGCATCTTTTTATTTTATATATATAAATAAAAAGCCAAATAACAGTTAGAAGTAAATTGCTGCCAAATACTAGCTCTCACAGCATTTTGTCTCACTAGGAAATCACTCTAATTCTGCAAAATGTTGGACACTGACTGACACAAGAAACCAGTGAGCCTGATTTGCATTACAGTAGTACAATCTATGTTCATGCTGATTACAGTAAGTATCTAGATAATGCATTCTATGACCCAGGTATAACCTCTCACCATATGCTTATGCATTGCTTAGCACAACAGACCTAACTGTTTGGAAGCTGTTATTTGGATTCAAATGCATAATTATAAAAAAGCCCGCAAATTCAGTTAAGCCTGTTGAAATAGATTGGGGATAGAGTTCTGCTCTCTACTCTCAGCCAGAAAATGTATTGAATATTTAAAAAAATATACAGGCCTTGACAAAACAAATGACATTATATATTTCTGGGCCAAACTATTTATTTTTCTGAATCAAATACGTTAATATAACCAGCATAATTCTGGTGTTGTGTCTTAAAAGAAATAAATAAGAAAACATGAAAACCCAGTAAGTCCTCATTCCCACAACGTAGCCCAAACAAATTTGAAATATTTGCTCTACAGGCTTCAGGATACACATGGCAGAAAGTACATAAAAGGAAAAAAGTACACATAGAATTTTCCCCTTTTCCAAACCATCCCACATGGTTTTACCCATCTGTAAGAAAGAGTGCTGATGCAGACAGTCCTGAAACTCTTCTCCTGGGTCTAGAGAACTGCATATTCATCCTGCACTTCTTCCTTTGGCAATGACGAATGCAGGTACTGCAGTACCAAAGAGGGTGAAGACAGGGATCCGTTCTGCTTTATTTTAAATAGTACCTAGCAAATGGACTGGATGTTGCTATTTCTCTTCCACAAATAACAGAATGGAGGTATAGGATGGGAATGTCATGCGCTTAAGTTCACTTGTTAGCAAAGGTGTAGAAAAGTAACACAGAAATCTTGAGTTTCAATGTTTAGTTTTGTCTAGTTCTCCTCATACGTCTCTTGATAGTCTTAAGTTAGAAACACCTTCTGTATATCATCAAACCAGGTATAAAATATTTTCAGGTCTGCTTATGTGTCAGCGAAACTAAGGCCTCTACAGCTCTTTCATACCATCAGAATTTTTCCCTGTTAGAGGTGGTATTCTGCTTTCTGAGGGCAGAATGGCTCATCACTACTCTTGACATGGTTCAGTAAAGATTACCGTGGTCAATTAAAAAAAAGAGCAGTACACACCACTGTAGTGACATTTCAGATGTTATAATGATGCTATAAAGGGCTAGGTAAAGCTCGAATTCTGATTTTCATTCCCAGCGCACAAAGAGACACATTTTTGAAAAGAAATGCTTCAATGTCTTTTTTTTCTCTCTTAGTTTTACATGACTGTCTTCATGGAGTAATCATAAAGGCAGATGTGTAACAAGGTGAACATGAAACAATTCTCATCAAGTTAGATAACTGAATTAATGGTAGAGGCTAATAATCATGAATATAGATGACCTTCAAGCTTTAATTTTTAATTTTTTGCTGTTATATTATATGTCAATCTCAAAGCACCTATAATTCAGTAAAAAAAGTATGAAAAGGAAACTCAAACAAATTAAATATGCCTTCAAGGCCATTTATTATGATATAGAGGCTTCCTTAAACTGAATCTCAATAAAACTAGACACTGCGAGCCAGGATAGAAGAATCTCGCAATAACAAATTAGGACAAGGGAAAATATAGGTCCTATTTTTATCAAAAAGGTTTTAGCCAGCACAACAAATTGTTCAATGTTAAGATGAACTTAGGCCTCAAAAAGAGATTTGTTCAGAAGCATCTGAAGTCAAATAAAGCAGAGAGCAGGTTAGTGGGAAAAGCAACAGAAGCTCTGGTTCAAATTATATTGGCAGCTGTGACGGAACAACACAATTGCCATTCTCCAAGGGCTGATGAGGTAGAAGGTTTTGATAGATCCTGCACTACTCTGAAAAAGCAAATGATGACTGAGTCATGTTTTGTTTCATTCCTTGTGACAATAAGCCCTGCCTTGAGCTAGTGCTTCAACATATTACTGTAATGTGCTTTACAGTCTGAGACCCTTCTCAAATCTGAGAGCAGTGCAAAATGCTCTCATCTCTTTGCCAAGTGATGCTTCACAGGATGGACACTTCACACAAGCATCATAAGCATTTCAATAGATTCTACCAAGCTTTCGAATGAAATTTGTGATGTTAATTGTAAGTTATGAGTACCGTAAGAATTTGAGACCTAGGCATTTTTTCCCTCTCCATTAGCCACAAGCACGATTTCTGCAGAGTGAAAGCAATGCAATGAAAGGCAAGTAGAAATGAGAGACAAGTATTATTCAGCCAAGAAACTCAGAATTCAGTTTTCCAGAACCCAGAATCCTGGGGATGCTACAAAGATCCATGTTTCCCATCTTTTTCCCCCTCAGTTGAAAAAGGAGTAATCTTAAGCCTGAATTGTATATAATGATATATTTCTTTTGGAATTATTTTATTTTTCAGATAAATGGCAAGAGGCAAGATGTGGAGCAAGATGTAAATGGAAATATTTTATGTGCTCAAAGAAATATATTTATATGAAGTACATATCAATAATAATAAAAAGTGTATGTGCATATGTTATTAACATGATCAGATTTTAAGCTGTTCTATGAATAACTACTGTATTAGTCCCAATCTACAGACTCAATCAATCTTGGATTGGACACCTTACTACTGTGATGTGTCCAAATATTACACCACCTCATTCTGGAGGAAAGAAACAAGTACCAGTTATCAATTAGTATTTCAACTTTGGACATAAGCTACATAGGTGGATTTTAAACTTCTCCGGATATCAAACAGTACACTGGATAAAAATAGTGAGGAAAAATTAACCTTTTACTCAACTGTAATTGATCATAGCAGTAGTTAAAATAATACTTACCTAAGTGAAATTTTTGCATTAAGAATAGCTATTTCCTGCAAAACATCAGCATTTCTTTCTACTGTTGAAATATCACATATTCTATGCATCTGCTTTTTCTTATAAAACTTGGGGTTTTTTGCAGATCTGACTGTGCCTTCCTGACAGATGTACTGGATGTCACCTTTTTTGTGTCACAGGGGAAAACAATGAGGTAGAAAAGTGTATACATAGAGTAGATTTATAGCCAAAATATATTTTGGGATGTATCGAGCAAAAGGAAGCATGTATTCAGAGGAGAAAAAAGCACAAAGAGAAGTAAAAATGCATTTAGAGAAGAGAAAAATGTCCTTAGAGAATAAAGTGGAGAGACACTTGGGGGGGGGGGGGAAAGTGACACTATATGCTTGAAGAACTGAAAGGCTTAAAATTACCCTTGTGCCAATCCATCACTGGTGCAGGATTTGACAATAATTTGTTTGGGAACTGCTGAGTTAGATTGAACCCAGCAAAGACTCCCTGACCCAGACCAACATGATGTGATAAGAATATCAGCAGAGGAAGAAAATGGCCTGACTGCGGATCCAATTCTGCTGACCTACTCTTCAAACCTCCGTAATTTTTCTTTTTGTCATTTACATATGCTTTATTACTAATTTTACTGCACTTCTTGATTTTTGGAAACCTTCATTATACTCTAAGGATATGGTAATATTATATTTTATGGTCTTATAGCTATCATTCAGGCCACTTGGAAGAACTGTTCATTAAGTATCATGGAGATAACTTCTGGAGATCTAAGTGGCAAGCTGTCATGTTGCAGTGAAAGTGGTTAAAAAAAGAACGTTAACTAGGGCAGCTCCAGAAAATGAGTTATATTACAGTGCTTGTTACAAACAGAGAAAAACCCCAGTCTTTAATTGAATATGGAGCAATAGGAATTAACTCCATGAGGAACATGACAAATTATGAATGGCTTTTTTGCACTATGATTCAAATACATCTGCACTAAATATACTTCTGATAAGATTTTCTGGTTTTCTTATTTGTTTCTGTCAGAACACCATGGTATTTATTCTTTATAAGACTGGGATATAGCTAAGCAGGATTTTTAGTTAGGAATACTAACTAAAGTTAGGTTTATCTATATAATACAGATATTTTTTGAACAGTGGTATGAATTGTTAGCCTTGCTAAACAGCCTAGTTTTTTAAATAAAAAGTCACTCCCCAAATTGCAAGTCTCTGTTTAAAAATCAATTAAAAATATCAAATTGGGTGCATCCTTCATCTAAATTTATTTGGTAATTCCAGTATGATGTTCTCTGAACAATGATTCCCTGGCAATTCCAGTACAGAAATATGTAATGTAAGGTAATACAAGTTGTACTTCACAAGAATCCTCTAAAATATAAGCAGGTCAATTAAAAAAAAAAAAAAAAAAAAAGACTAATCTTTATACTTTTAGGATATTAACTACAATTTTATTTAAAATTCATCTAGTGACATTCATTTGCCCATCACTGGATATTTATGCTGCAGTTAATTGTCTAAACTATCTTTACAATGAGAGAGAAATACATTTTTTATACTACATTTCTACCACAGGATAGGAAAATTTTCCTAGAAATGCCCATTTCTGGCTGATGGCTAAGAAAAGAATCCAGATAGTTAGTCCAGGTACAACATTACTTTATGGATATTTAAAAACTGGTGAAATGAATTGCACCACTGTGTGTAATTGTACCCTGTGATCAATCCCTTATTGTGATCAATCCCTCTGTTGTAATCAAACTCATATTTATACTGAAAACCTTTCAACAGCTTGACTAATTTTCAGTTTGTTCATCATGTTTCTCCAGTACCTTGCACAATGAGACTATAACTACACAAGTGAATTATACATACTTACACAGTGTTTCACATAGGCACAGGAACGTGCTCAGCTTTGTGCTAGAAAAATAAATTTTGGGGGTGGAGGAAACGCTTAATGCAAACCCTTAATAGCCTATATGGGAAGTTAATGTTCTTTTGATTTAAATGAATGTAAAATAGTGTTGCACATGTGTTGTTGCACAATTTTACCTATTAGAGCGGTTGCGTAACCTTTCTGTTTCAGGAGCTTGGAAAAAGTTATTTCTTCAGAAGGAAGTCCCCCAGAAGAGGCAGAAAATAAGAAGACACCAACTCGTGAGAAGGCAGCCATTCCTAAATACAATGAAAATTAATGAGACCTGGATAATATGTAGAAACTATTTCCATTTATTCTTTCTGCATGCACTTTTTGCTTCAGGTGGTATCACTTAAATGACATATTACAACCAGACAATAAATGTTGCAAGTGGCTTATACAATCATCAATTTAGCTGAATAAGGTCTTCTCTGTATTGACACCAGAAATTGGGAAGTTTAGAAAAAAGTCTCTGCTTATAACCATGGGGCCAGACATCAAATAAACAGCTGCATCTCCTTCTGTAGATGTTCTAAGATATAGCATAACTGAAAAAAGTTGAGCTTGTATAATTTATTTTTCTTGTACATGGATAGGAATGGAACTGAGGACTAAGTGAGATCATTCCCAAGTTCTACTCTCCAAATTTCCACTTTCCTCATACATGGTTTTCTATAAGCTTTTAAGGTTATTTAAGAGAAGGCACATTAAAATAGGGCAGTCTCACAACTGGGTATGTAAATATCATGAGGTCAAAAGAGTGAGAGAGAATCTGATTCTGGAAATAGAGTAGCCAGGGCTCTCAGCGTTGATGGGAGAGGACCAGCACTCCAGTGGCATGAAGACACATGATTCAATGCATTCAGAGTGCACTAAAGGAGCATCAGGTATCGGCTAACAAGACAACATCTAAATAAGGCACAGTAATTTCTATATACTGAGAGTCTGAGGAACACAAATGAGCTTATAAGCTACTCTCAGGATGAGGAACTTGAGAGCTCAGGTTCATGAAAATTAGATTACTAGGATTCCAGATGAGAGCTGGCTCTGAAAATAGACAGACAGAACAGAGAATATCTATGCAAATCTGTGCAGATGTATCTTCAGGAAGTCTAAATTATGCAACTGGATGATTGCAGTGCCCAAATTACATGACTGATGTAGACAACCAGAATCTTCCCTTAGGTATCCCTTGTGGTTACATGAGAAAAAACTTGTTAGACTAGTTTATCAAAGACAGCTCAGCTTACCCTTCATATGTTGACTTCAGTTTTTCACCCCTGCTATTTTTGTTGATTAACAGATTAGTTTTAATCATATATATATATATTATTTATTTATATTTAATTTTATGTAATTCAAGTCCTTGTAACTGAAATCAGTGTAATTCTCTTAAGCTACACAGATGAAAGTCAGACTTATGTTTGGGGTTTTTTTAATCATTACCTTTCTCTGAGTTTGTGTCTCAAAAAATACTGCATTTTGGAATCTTTTTCTTCAGCTCTATTAGCAGGAGTTTTAAATTCCTAACATTTTTTTCCACCTTATGATTCTAGTGCCTTGTATAATAATTCTTTACTAGGTCTTCAGCGATATTTGGAAGCACTCCATATTTAGCCATTTTGAAATTTCAGTAAGACAAAGTTCAATTTTTGCACCTACATGGAAATGATCAGCGAAGAAAAAAATCAGTTCAAATGCTAATTTTTCAGAAATAAGAACAAGAATCATAATGGACAGTGACCTGTGGCTTTACCTACAGTAAATATTAATAGCAATATAGCTGTAACAGGTATATAAAATTTTCCTTTGCAGCGAATGTAATGGAAAATTTAGCAAGTTATATTAGCTGGCATTTTTGCAAAAGCTTGTTACTTGATTTGAATGAGCACGAACGTATCAAGTAGGCTCCAGAGTCTTGCTTTGCTTTCATTCCCAGAAGCAAGGACAGGATGTTTTATCACTAATGAACAAGTGATCTGATTAATGTATAATGATCCTTGCTAAAAATGATGTTAAGGGAATGTTAAAGTTGCATGGCTAAGCACCGAGAGGCTCAGTCCCAGCACACTAAAATAAACAGACTAGATCTTCACTGACTCAAATGGGCTTTGGATCAAGTATTTGAAAAGTAAGAGAAATTAAATGCATGTATTCATAAAATACTTAACACTGTATAGGGGTAGATATAGAACAAAAATATGTAAAAAGAAGGGAGATTTTTTGCTTTCCTCTTCTCAGTTTTCAGGGCAACTTGAACACCTTAATGAGCCGTCCTGCCCCCACCTTCCCCTCGCCAAAACAAAAACAAAAAACCCCCAAAAGACAAACTCAACAATTTGTCTAAACCAAAAGGTTTTGTAGAAATAGAAATGTCTGAGCAGAAGCATTTACATGAGTTTCTTCTGGTGTGCCTTTCTAGATGCATCTCTGTGTTGTCCAGCACTTAGGCTGCCCACCAGCATACTGGGAGCAGCCTGAATGCAACTAGGGAGGCAGGCAAAGAGAGAATTGAATAGTGGTCATTGAAAAGTGGAGGAAGTGGACGGATTTTGAGGACAAATGGACTGCTCCTTACATTAAATAACCACAGTCAGATCCTTCTCTCAGTATTTAAACAAAAAAATATTTTACTCACTAAAAAGACTTTATTTTTGTGTCGACTCTTCTCAGATGCAAAAATTTGCCATATATATGAAATATTTCAAAAGTAAACCAACTCTTGATGAGTTGGATCAGTCACTGAAAAGACTGATCATTTATTCTTACCTAACCTAGTAATGATAAAGATATCAAGAAAGGCCAGGCAAAAAAAACCCTGCGTACAGTTTACTGTAAATAAAATATGATATTTATATATAAATAAAGTAATGGAGTTTTACCTGATCTTATAGGATATCTCCCTGTCAGGAAAGCTGCCCTGCTTGGAGTACAAAGTGGGGCTGCTGCTATATGCTGAGTAAGTGTCACTCCTTCCTCTGCTAGCCTGTCAATATTAGGAGTTCTGGAGAAACACAAGCAGTAAAAAAGAAAGAATACACAAAAATTATTTTTTAGAAACAGTCATGGTAAGATCAAGGCATCTGAAGCAGGAACTATTAAGGAAATCAAGTTAAGACTTATTGTATGTAAATTATCAAAACCACGATGGGGTTGCAGTTCTAAATACTATCATGTCAAATATTTTTACATAAGTTGTCAACACTGAACTGAGACACTGTGGCATTGTGCCAAAAATCTTTTTTCCCACTTTCATCTACTCTTCACGGCCAATACTAAACTGTTACACCTAGACATATTGCACTGCAACCCTTTTTAATGGATTCCTTGACCCAGAACTGTAATTTTGCAACCTTTCTGCTCCAGCAATGGGGAAAAACAGAGGCTGGAGAAAGGTCATGCTTCCTTACTCCCTACTTGGTGTCACGTCTGTCTCTCCCCAGCAAAACGTTTTTGGGGTAGGGATAATGTTGTATGGTGCTATCAGTTAACAGAGGAGATTCCAAAAATAATGACTCTGTGTTACACTCTATATTAATGGTATTAACATGTCTGACATGATTATGTCTGCAATATTAGACTCAGGGGCACAACCAAGTCTCCATATCTGGATGGGAAACCTGTCTGTGACCTGGCTCATCATGCAGATGAAAATTGGTTCTTGCAGGAAGAAATCCTGTGTCCTTGGCTCTAAAGATAAAAATTACTAATGCAGACTGGACAGGAGCTGCAGCATGCTCTAATAGCTCTCTGACCCAGGAGATTAATGACCATGACCTCAAGGCATACTAGCACTCCCATCATCTAAGTCTGAATAGTCAGAAACATTAATTTTCCAACTGACTTATTTGCTATCAGTAACATCACCTACTAATAACAACCAGTATGATGAAATTTCTTCATATTCCAAAGATCTAATTCTGAATTCTCACAGCAGAGAACATAGATCTTGGAGTCATTCTGGTCCCTGTGATGGGAGTGATCCAAGTATCAGTGTTGTACATAATTTTTTCCTTTTAAAGCTAGTGTCTGTAATTTTTTTTTTTTTTCAGTTATGAGGAGGTTTTACTTGTAACATCAGCTGGAACAAGAGCATTTAACACTTGACAGGACAGTGCTTTTCCTCTGAATTTTTTTCTTTAGTTTGTCAAAGCCTTTGCACCACAAACACCATGACTAGGTACCACTTTCTCTGTTTAGACTATCAGCACACCTAAGCTGGTTATAGGGAATATTCTGGGGAAGACTGCTGCATTATTCAGGCATACTAACATTTGTTTTAATGAATATATTGATTACTGTATGAAGACAAGTTAATGAAAAACATTTCCAAATTGTTAACAACAAGCTTGTCTAAAATCATGAGTGCTTCAAAATATGCTTAAATCATCATACTTGTGTCATGTATATTCTAAAAGAAAAGTGTTTATACTTTGCTTCTCTAGAGCTACCCTTATTTTTGGGTTGGTTGCTCAATTCTCTGTTTATAATGTAAATTTTCAGCAGGATAAATACATCAGATAAGTCTTTTGTCAAGAAAAGAAAACAAAGATTGAATATATTATTCTCTGGAAAAGTTATTAACTTTGATTACTTTTAAAAGTAATCAAATCTCTGAATATTCTGGCATTTTTAACTTTAAAAATCCATAGAAAAACTAAATACAAACCTGTGACTCCCCTAAATTATCATCATACCTTAAGGTTTTGTTCCCATAACATCCCAGGTCTCCAATACCAAGATCATCAGCCATCAGTAAAACTATATTGGGATTTGAAACACTCTGCATTTTGACACTGTTTATGGCACAGTGACAAATCATTAGAAGTAAAAGGGGTCCCATCTTCTTCCTGGTGTGTAAGAAGAGGTGGAAAATATAATAAATAGACACCTTTAAAAAAAATTACTTTTGATCTAATTTAGTCCTATTATTGGCCTTGTATAGCAAAAGATAAAAAGAAAGTTAGATCGCATATTTTTACTTGGCGCTTTTTTCCCCCCATCGGGGTTTTCTTTAACATTTTCTATTTCATACTTCTTAAAATAAAAACACATCTTTTAGTACGTAGATAATTTTCCTTCTACTTCTTTACAGAGATGAAGGCTTTAAATAAAGACAAACAAAGAACTAGCTACAACCTCAGTGACAATCTTGCATACACAGACGTATACACAGCAAGGCTTGGGTGCTTTTGGTGGTTTTGGGGGGTGTTTCTAGGTCCAAATGGGATTTGAGGAACACAGAACCTTAAATCATTTAGGACCAAAATTTCCAACGTTCATTGCAGGAGAAAAGTTAATCAATTCTGCTCCTGAAGTAAATGACCGAATTTCTCTTCAACAATGGGGGAAAAAAATCCAGCTTCAGTTTCTTAAAAGGAATAAATACTATTGAAAGGAGGGTGAAGAGATGCATTATGAAATTATTGTAAGAATGTTTAAGAAATAGCTCTTCATGAACATTTTAAATATTAGGGTCTATAGCAAAATCATGTGAAAATATTTGATATCATATCACAGCGTTCTATAAACAATGATCAAGCTATACCCAAACTAAAAGGGGAAGAAGAATGTATTGTACACAATACAACATATCATTATATGCTTTTATGATAAAAGCAGAATATTTGCAGATGTGCATGCTATGAATGCTATTTTACCTAACAAGGGACTTGTCACATCTCTGTTTTAAACTGCATTTAATATAATTGACTATGCCCTGTCTGAAACTGAGTGCCTGTAGGCTGTAATGGACCATGCCAGGTATACATATCAAAAAGAACAAACTCTGTTTCTCTCTCTCTTTTGTATCTACTAATAGTCCCATCTTTTCTGGATGCAGGCAGCCTTTTTCAAATGCAGATGAGGCATGAGTCACCCTGTACTCTGGATTATGCTGGAAAAAGAGATAAAGTGGAAGAAACTAGGACTGAGGTAGAAATTTGAAAGCGAGAGAGTAGAAAAAGGAACTAGAAACAAGGATTTCCAGAGAGAATGAGGACAGCAGGTCAAGAAAGAAAAATCTTGTAAATCAATGAGTTATGGTAGATAAAAGTAACTGGAGAGAAGATAAAGAAGCCAGAACTGAAAGAGCTAGTACAAAAAGAGTAGATGTTAAGGGAGACAGATTCATAAATCAGTGAGGTGGGTAAAAGTATGTGTAGAGAAGACAAAGTAGTTCGAACTAGAAGAGCTTACACTGACTTGAATAGCAAGAATGGAAGTTGAGACCTAGCTGAAATGAGAATTGCAGGTTGAAATAAAGAGAAATGAGAGAAGAATAAAGAAACTGAAATGAAAGTATCACAGTGAATAGAAAAACAAAACTGAGGGAAAGAGGTGAGAGAACTGGGAGCGTCTGGGATGAAAGATCTGAGGAGTTATGATTAAGGTCAATGAAGAGAACTGATTGGAAAGAGCTTGGGAATATAAGACTTGGGACTAACATAAGTGAGAAGTGATCAAAATAGTGGGGATCAACCAACACAGACTGGGACTTCTGATTCCCAACCTTCATTATTGGCATTCTGTCAGAAACTATAGGTGCAAAGAGGATTTTAACTCTTTAAGTAACTCTTCACATACAGATAAAACAGTAGTAAGTATATTAGCTATTTTTTTACTGCTTAAGGTACACTTTATCACTCATTCACCTCAGTTTGGTGAGAACAGTTCTGGTATAGACTTCAGCTGGCAACATCTTGTCACTGATCGTTACCTGATTTATCCCATGGGAAGCAATTTACTTCATTTCAGACATGTTGAGCGGGATGCATCTAACTACCCCTTCATCAAATAACCATATTAATGAAGCTGTGTAATGCCTGCCATGTCATAGACTTTTAATCTACACTGTAAAAGCACCTTTCTTTCCTGAAAGGACAAACAAGAGTGACTGTGACTTGCTTCTCAGGCTTTGCAAGAGAACAACTAAAACCTTGATCCAACAGGACAGAAACAACCTACCGCTAGATCTTATGTTCCTACTCCACTGTTCAGACTGCAAAGGTCTCAAGGGCCAGTGGCAGTGGGGATGTTGAAAAAGGGGACACATATATGCTGGTGACATTATATATAGAGTTGCATGGATGCTCACAGGACCTGCAGAAGGTAGCATCATTTATTATCTCCATTTATTATTTTGCAAATCAGCCAAAAATAACGTTATTAGAAGTTCTCTCTGATACTCCTCCATTCTGAAGATGCTGAAAACTCTCACTCACTAAGCTACTTGCCTTCACCTGATATCATGTCCCTGAAGTGAAATCAACAAGGAAACAAGAAAAAGAAAATAATCTAACAACCATGATTTGTCTGGTGTACTCTCTCTGCAGCAGATATTCATGTGTCTTAAAAGGATGTGCAGGGAAAGCAAGAAAAATCAGATGGATGAAATTGAGTGGAACAGACAACAGCAATGAAACTCAAAGGAGCAAAAAGGGAATGACATGAGAAGAATGAAGCTCTGAGAACGCTGAGGGCCATCTGTGTCACACCAGGGTTTGTTCTGGTGAAGAGATAGGCATGTGCAGATCTAACATGAAAACAATGACATCAAAACAGATGAAGCTTCCACTTAACCTTGTGTTTCCTCTCTGTCCTTGGACAAATCAAATGCTTAAGGAAAGAATGCAAAAAACTTGGCAAATTAATTATTTTACTAGCACACTCTTCTAGCTCTTGATAGTTACCATTAAAGATATTTTCGACAGGAGAGCATTGTACTGTATATCTCTCCATGGATCTTTTAATCTTCATGGATTTGCTACAGTCTATTTTGAATCAATTAACTTTTGGTTTGGTTTTTTGAATTTGTATGGTATTTTTTTTTACTTCCACGACACTCTTTACACATAAGTGCAAATTTTAACCTCTGCTTCACTTTCCCTGTGATATAATAGAACTAAAAGTAGCATCTTTCTTTTCAAGCTGGTTGCTAAGCTGAGTTGATTTAAGAGGTGCTTAATTTCCTACAACAAGAGCCATATAAAAATTTGTATTTCACACACCCTATTTCAACCTACAGTACTTTAAGCACTGTATATGAACTTATAGATGTGAATACATACACAGATGTGTCAATATGCACATATATACATATATGGGGGGAAAACACACACATCTTACTTTTTCTATGTATCTTCAAATTACATTTTTGTGATTCTAATACTTATTTTCTATTTGTATTAAAAAACAAAGTATAAATGTATAAGAGTAAATGGATAAAAATAAAACCACAGATATAATCCACTATTTCTTGATATTTGTTTGGTTGGGAATTTTTTACTCATCAGGATAACTGATTCAAGACTATGGCTATCACACAGTCATAGAATATCCTGAGTTGGAAGGGACCCACTAGGATCACCCAAGTCCAACTCCTGGCCCTGCACAGGACAGTCCCAAGAATCACATCATGAACCGGAGAGTATTTTCCAAAAACTTATTGAACTCTCTCAGGCTTGGTGCTCTGACCACTTCCCTGCAGATCCTGTTCCAATGCCAAACACCCTCTGGGTGAAGAACCTTTTTCAAATACCCAACCTAAACCTCCACTGACACACCTTCAGGCCATTCCCTCAGGTCCTGTCACTGGTCACCAGAGAGAAGAGATCAGTGCCTGCCCCTCCTATTCCCCTCACTAGGAAGTTGTAACTGCAATGAGGTCTCCCCTCAGTCCCCTCTTCTCCAGGCTGAACAGACCAAATGACCTCAGCTGCTTCTCATACGGCTTCCCTCAAGGCCTTTCACCATCTTTGTTGCCCTTCTCTGGACACTCTCTAATGGCTTAATATCTTTCTTATATCATGGTGCCCAAACCTGCACACAATATTCAAGGTGAGGCCACACCAGTGCAGAGCAGATCGGGACAAATCCCCCCACTCGGCCTGCTGGCGATGCTTTGTCTGATGCCCCCTAGGACATGGTTGGCCATCCTGTCTGCCAGGGCGCTGCTGACTCATACTCAACTTGCCATCAACGAGGACCCCCAGATGGCTTTCCACGGCACTGTTCTCCAGCCTCTTCTCTCCTAGTCTATACACACAACCAGGGTTACCCCATCCCAGGTAATGAATCTGGCACCTATCCTTATTAAATATCATACAACTGGTGATTGCCCATCTCTCTAGTTTTTCTAAGTCTCTCTGCAGGGCCTCTCTGCCCTTGAGGGAGTCAACAGCTCCAGTCAATTTAGCATCGTTAGCAGACTTACTTGGTATACTTTCCAGTGCTGCATTGTTTATGAAGATGTTGAAGAGTACATGGCTTAAATAGAGCCTTGTGGAATCCCACTACTGACTGGTCACCAGTCTGATGTTACCTCATTTACTATAATGCTTTGCACCTGATCCATCAGCAAATTGCTCAGCCGTTGCATGACATGTTGACCCAATAGGACAGAAACAGCTGTATGTTAGATAATCCTTATCCCGATGACTATAGACAAATGCATCTCTTTCAAGAACAACTATATGAAACTCTTTCAAACACCTCTTCCCAGCTGAATCATCTCAGCATTTTTATTAAGTTTGATTAAGCAATTTATCTCTAAACTACTCTTTTAATGTAACAGAACCCTTTGAGAAAATGCTTAATATACTTTATCCTTGAAGGTATAGTATTTTCTGATGAAATAAGCAACATTTAAAGATATTGACCTCATTAAAAATGCTGTGCTATCCTTAAGCAGTATGCAAAACAAAACAAAAAAAAGTACCTTACTTAATTGAATGCTAGAACCTCCAAAAATTCTGTAAGTCATAAAAATCACTGTAAACTAAAGACAACTCTGCTCTCTGTAACATTCTGCAAAGAGAAAATTCCTCAGCTTAATGAGACAAAAAAAAAA